CATAGTATTTCCGAACATCATCCAACATGGTTAAGCAAGGGACAAACAAGATCTATTCGTAGCTCTATTTTAGCACACACTGTAGATAGCGAGAATAAAGTTGACGTTAATACAGCATTTCAAACTATTTATCGCATTCCTACTTATCTTAATTTTGCTCTACGAGTTCGTCTTCTACAGACAGCTGAAGCAATAGGAATCCACCTGAAGAAGCCAAACCTGTGTGTTCAGAAGAAATTTGTGCAGCCACTTTCCTTGCCTTGGCCATCGTTACATGAATGTGTGAACAGAACTACTTCGTCCCCCTCCCCCCAACCCTTTAAAATTATAAAAACTATAATTGTCTAAATTACTTTTTCTGACCACTTCATCTGTAATTACGTGTTATCCTTCTAAAATTAATTTATTCTAACTATTTCTACCTTTTAAATGTGTATTGATTTTCTTCATTTATTATCAACCCATTGACATTTTGACACTGAATAATTATTGTTAACAAACTTATCGCCACTTGATTTGTAAACTGTTGTTTATTGTAATAAAAATGCTATGTATATTAGAGTAGAGCCAGAGATGAGGATCTAATTGAAAAGTTAATATATCTTGTTATAACCAACATCACGTTTTAAATTATCGATTTTCCATGCTTAAAGACTAATATACAAACGCATATTGTTTAATAATAGATCAAACTGTTCCGTTTACAAGTATATTTCACACTCGTGTTCAGTCTTACCACTATTTTATGTTCTGCTGAGGATGTTAAAGAGAAATGGTTAAATATACAACCGAAAAAAGACCATTTTACCATCAGTCCTTCATTCGGAAATAATTTTATTGATCATGATGCTGATAAGAGTCAAGATATTGAATATAGTTTGAAGGATAACGTTTACAAGTGTTATGAATGTGAAGAATGTCATGTAGTCAGGGGAATAGAAAAATATGTGAAAGACAATTGTTTAGAGTGTGTAGTAAGTCAGATTACCTTTAGTTGGTCAGTGTTTTGATTATCAATCTTGTGTGCAATATGTTGACCATAGAATTTTAAAACACCTTTTGACTCAGATTTTACAAATTATTGTTGATATTTTTTATTTTTAACTAAAGTTTATCGTAAATGCTTTCGAAGACATATGATTAGAAAGCGTTAATGAACTATTTATCAACTAAGAAGCTAAGAAGAAATGATGAGATACCACTGTGAAGAATTTATCACAATACTACCAGCATAAGCCTGAGTACATGATATGAAGTTTCGTAGCTGTCACTTCTTGAACATAATGACTGTAGTGTACCATAGTGAGATAAGATGGCTCAGCAGTTGTCTTGAAAATGTCTGAAGACAGTCATCAAATCAAAAGTCTCACGATTTAATCTCTGACGTGAAACTGAAAACAGATTCTATCTTATCGAAGCGTTTAAAGTGTAGGGTAATTCTTATTCGCTATATGTAAGATTTTAAGCGTCCAGTGAATGGTGAAATATTTAAGTTCCCTTCTTTAGCATCTTGCTAATCATTTTTTTCTATACTCCTATCCCTCTTTTTCTTTTTCTTATTTGCTATTCTACACTTTGGAACTGTAAAAATTTGAAGTAATACGACTTTGTGTGAGGTCTTGCTGTATTCTTTCGTCCCGCTGAAGTAAGAGAAAACAAGTTAGGTGCTTGGTGTATACACTAACTCTGTCTCTGGATATTGATCCTAAACGTGTTTCTGTAGTAACCCTATATCGGGTAACCCGATCAAGTTACAGATGCAAATCGATTGCAGTCTGAGTTTATTTACTTATGAATGATCTCATATAGGATAAAATGATGGGGATAAACTGCTATTAAGATATTAACTAACATTTATAACACTTGTATTCTGCACAGATGTTAAAACAGCACATACAGTCTTCAGCGCCCTTTATCGCTTAACATTTTCTTTCGATCGAGGATCTTCAAGTGAAATAGTAATCTAAAGTACATAGTGTGACATCATTTTCGATTTGAAGAATAAAATAATCCTCTATGATATTTTTCCTTTACTGCCCAGAAATTTACAGAAGTAGGCTGAAAACCCATTAAAAGTGTGCGTGAGTACATCCAGCAACCCACAGACATAATTCTTCATGCATATACCATTTCAACTGTTCCTGTGTTTCAAGTTTTATAGGGCGCAAGATTAGGCAGGTTCGTCTACGGGTTCGAGAACATGCACCAACTGGGTTCAGCAGGGGGGAAACTAGATGCATAAGAAGCTCGGTCCTGTCACAATTGGTCGGTACTGAACATAGCGTCGACGTCAACACAGCTTTCAGGGTTATATACCAAATTCCGAGGTCTACTTTGAACGTTCTTTAGACACCAAAAGTCAATGATTGCACCTTGTTTTGTAGACACTTGTGAGCTTTCAAACATTTGCAGATAACGTAAGGAAAAGTGAAGAAGAAAAACTTTCAAAATTTTCAACTCTTTTCTTTTCAGGTGATTCCAAACCAACTATCAGCTCCAAATCGACGTTGTAACCGTGGGTTAGACACGTTATGCAAAATATACAAAAATGCAACATGTTGTGGATCCAACTTTTGTAATTCTACCACATCATTGAGGAAATCACACAATAAGTTAATTTGCTCAATAATGAATATTCTATTTATTTGTATTTATTACAAATATATTAAAGCAGTGACAAAATAAATATTCTGTCCATTATGTTGAGTCAAAGTATTCAGTTAAGTAATTTGACAGAATTTTATGTTTTTCGCATTTGTTCTAATCTTGTAACCACCAATGTTATATTAGTGTCAAGTATCTGGCTAATTTCATTCTACGACTCTAAAATACTCCCCTCCTATGATTCTTGATTGTCAGACGGATACTGCAATTTCAGAATAATTTAGAAGAGTATAGCTGGATTTGAATTGCCTTTTCGAGTTTATAGATCACTCATTTATGACTTTTATGACAGATGCTTATCAAAGCGATGGTTTAGTTAAGAAATATGTTATGGTCAATCAGTCGGTTACAAATATTCTGCATTATTTCGGCGACTGGCCCTATTCAGGTTGGTAGTTACCTGGGGTTCCAGTGGGAAGTCATGACCAGTAGGGTGCACCAGGTTGGGTGTGAGGAAAAATACTCACCGAAGATATTGGCTAGCGGTTGGGTTAATTCGTGAATTGGCAGAAGTTAGAATTCATGGGCCATTGGATCAGGTCCCAGTGGCTTAATGGTCTACGAGCTCGCCTTGTAACCAGAAGATCCTGGTTTCGAACCCCGGTGGGTGCGTACTGATGAGGAGTCTTACGCACTAGGAAGAAACAGTTGTCCAGTACTCCATGCAGGTTTTCCAATGGTTCTCTAACCAATGTCAGCTCATGATGAAATCCTATAACCAATCAGTCAAATCCCTACAAACCAATACTTGAATATTACGAAATAATTGACGATTAAAACTGATGAACTTCTTGGCATGATTATGAAGTTTGCATGCGTGTGTGTGTGTTTTCATCTCTCTGGGTTTCTTTGTTCTGCTAGTAATCAGCTGGTCTGTTGGAGTTAACAGTAGTGACGTAGTGTTATTTACCATATAAAGCTAGAGAAGCACTTTATGGGTCATTTTTGTGTCAAGGTGACTTTGACCTCTAAATTTCGCTATTCACAAAGGCTATCGTGACAAGTATACAATCAGTCTATTCTAAGCGCGTAAATGACTACTTCAAGAAGTGGAAAAGAAAACATTTAGTTATGCTACTAACATCTAATTGAGTATACCTTTAGCGAATGAAACGATATTCTTTTGAATAACTATATTATCACTAACAGGATATCTGCTATTTATGCTAAATGTCTTTAAAGTCACTCCGAAATAAAAGAAAGAAAATAAATACCTCTGAAAAGACAGGGTTTAAAATTATAAGGTGATCTTGATAGACTCATAGTTAAGGCACTTGACTAGGCCAACAAAACGACTTCAGCATAAATGTATCTAGATCACAGCTAGCTCAATGACTCAGCGATATGCCTTTCACCACCTGTAGTCTTGTAAAGAAAGGTGTGGTAGTTTCTTTTTTTGAAAGTAATCAACCTATTGTTTCATTAAACAATCGTTCAGCTATCATTAAAGTAATGTGATTATAGTGACTGCGTTTTACTCATATATTAAAATCTTCATAGTCAGCTAGGTTAGGAGATTATATATCCAACACAGTCAAAGGAGAGTATAGATTGCAGTAGGAAAACTCGGAAAAAAACAGCAGTGTTTGTGTTTGAGATCAACTTAAATTAGTTGACTTATTGATTCCGACTGTTGTTTTCAAACTATTTATGCTGAACTGTACATTCATAACATAATGGTTGACAGATCACCATGGTAAAAGATGGTCCATCCACAAAACTTTCAAGAAACCAAGTTCTTTTACCAACGATTGTCATTTTTTGATTATGTTACTATAAACAAACAGAAGTGAAATACAAATAGTCAAGAAAAAAAGGAAGTTATGAAAAAAAACCCAATAAGTTGCAGCTTGACAATTGCTGATATGAAGAGAAAGAATTCTCAATAAAATGCACATGTCTGCGCAAACGTATAGACATAGAAGGACATAAGAGGTAGACTGTTGAACATCGAAACTGAAAATTTAATAAAATAGATCCTCACTGAATACTTCAGTGGACTAGTAAATAAAGCGAAAATCATGTACACATCTGAATGTGCTTATATGTGTAAATATATATATGATGATATATGAAAAATGGTGAAGAGGTAGTAGTTTAGGTTAAAATAGAAAATGCTTAGTTTTAATTCTGTTTTTTTCTTGTTTGTATCGAATGTTTTATGGGCACTGGACATAAAATCATATTCACGTTTACATGACTATTAAACACTTGAACATGATATGATTTGTACATTAGTTTATAAAGGCAGTTCAAATTTGCCCTTATTAATTAGTGTACATATGTTTTATGTTGTGTCACTACTTGTAGTCCTTGATACATGGGAAAATTTGTAAGTTATTTTTAATTATTATTAATAATGTTATTAGTGCTATACAGACAGTTGTGGTAGTATAAGACGACTAAGGTTACGTTTAACCCGATTGTTCCCACAAAATAAAGCACGCATCTGTTGTTCTGAGTCATAACTTCTTAGCTTTGATGTGGGCAAACCAAGAAGGCTGGCTAGCAAGTCTGTATTGACCTCATATAGAGCCAAAACATCAACTAACTTCATGCGTTGCGGATTTGATAAATAGCCGCAGGTTGGATTACATTGTGGGATTAAATGATCAATGGCTGGAGTATATTTTATTGGATTATTAGCAATATAATTCAACTGTGTGCTACTGCTAGTATTGAAGTTATCATTTTTGCTTTTATTCAACACCTCCAAAGGTGTATTTCTGCATAAATATGCACCTTGGATTCCATCTACTGAAAATAATCCACAGGAATCAATTACGTGGTACGTCGCAGAAGCTGAATATTTTCGAAATATTGAGTTTATATGATTCCGTGGTATTTTGCGCTTTTTCATTGTTTGAGTTAACTTAGACTGACTTAGTCTAGTCATTGTTAGTGCGTATGGGTATGATTTTTCAATGATAAATGAGTTAAAATTTGATGGTTTGATATCGTCTAAGGAACTGATCGTTGAACTTCGTTTAAGACGTCTAGGATGTTGGTTTAGTAAGTTGACGAGTCGAGATAAAAATACAAGAGTTGAATTACTTGTAGTCGTTGTTTCTGTAGCTGTTGCTGCCTTTGTAACACTTTCCTGTGACTCCGATCCTAGGGGATTACTCATATCGGTAGATTGATGATTTGCGCTCCACTGTTGCGCTTTAATTAGAGCATTAGGATAGCGCATTGAAAAGTATATCAATTTTTGTCTTATCCAGTGTCTAGACAAAAAAGGGAAAAAATAGAGACATTTAATATTAATAACGATTCTTGATTATGTTGTATGTTTACTTTGGTATAATTCAAAGTATTTAATTGTGTCTGTAAAGTAATTCACTTAATAGCAGTTCTGCGTGACACTACAGATAGTGCAGAAACATCCAAATGCCGTCAGGATTCAACTTTGTGTTAAACTACTTAAGTCATTACATCATGGCTGTAATACTAATTGCAAATGTGAAAACTAATTAAGATAATTCCGCTAAACTATCCCGTTTTCCCCTAAAATGTTGCTGAACGCTTCCTTTTTGTAAAAATGACTATTACGGTAATCATAGTTTGTAAAGTAATCATGGTTATTATTTTTTTGGGTTGCTAAGGTTCAGAAAATCTTCCAAAACTTGATATGTGCTTAAAACTTGGGCAGTGTGGTAGTGTGTATTTCCATATCAGTTTTTTTTATTGGACATGTTAAACAACAAAACATTATTATTTACAAGATAATAATTCTCCTACACTGTCTGATATATACAGTTAACAAATTCATTTGGGATATACAGCAACGGTTTTAATCATGGCGCTTGAACTAAATAATTTAGCATAACAAAGCATAACGTTTTCGTCAGTTGCTTTATTGGAATTCTTAAGTGCCACATATACTGAAATATTCTAGTGATTTATACTTAACCTGGTAATTTTAGTTCACGCTAAGGCAACAACCTTAACACAGATATTATAATTGAGTATGATAAAACGCAGACTGGCGATTGTAGAAAGGGAATTGAGGACAGCGCAAATTAACGTCAGACTACTCCGCCAATTAGACTAGGCCAGCATTAATTATTAGATAATATTTAAACTGATTATTCAGAGAATGAGTACTGATTTTAATTTAGTCCTTTACAGATAGTGAGATGCTTAGAAGTAATACTTATGAATGGATTATTGAAGGATGAATATTCATATGTCATTTATGGACTAATTCGATACAACAGAAAAGTAAAACATGGGCACTTTGATAGTGCCATTTCGTGTTAGTTTGTTTATTTTATGTAGCAGACAGTGATATGGTATTATTTACTAGATGATGTTCTGACCACAATTCACGGCTCATATTCACATCACTTTGATAGAGGTTTTCAGATGTATGGAATTAAACAACAAAACAATGAGTTTACCAAATAGTTGTCATTTAACTTATAAGTGTATACTAACTCAGAGCAAGTTCGTAGTTCAAACTGACAAAATCTAGCGCTGAACTTGAACTTTCAATGATAAGTGCCTATTGTTAAAATTAAATTATGAACGTAAATAGGTTTGAGAAATGATTATTGTAATGCGAAATACATTTCTTACTTCTCCAACTCATCATCCCATGCTTTGATTGCATTCACTAGGCTGATTGTCCCGATCATTTTGTGGACCCAATTACTAAAACATTGTTGAAGATTTGTGAGAAAGAAAGATATGGTGAAGAAAAACAAAATAAGAAAGTAAGCTTATAGTGCTCATAATGAAAAGAACAATATAAGTTGCGTCCTTCATAAAGGTTACAGGAAATCGACTAACTTCCTCCTAGTACTCATCATGAGATAACTTCACCTGCAAAATCATAATCAAAACTTTCTTGTTGCAGTCTTGTAGTAAGTGAGAACTGAAAGAAGACCAAGATTCTTACCCTAACGGGAGATTGAGTCCGAGACAGTTAAATGTTTTGGTATGCATCAGAAAGAACACTAGAATTAACACAATATAGTGATATAGATAAGCTGAATATGAGATGATGCACTTATGTGAAGTGTTTTGCTCTGATCTGTTTTTGTACAGGTCGAAGTTAATTCATTTTCATACAGTCTGAAGGTACTTGGCATTTAGATTTATTTGCATATTTACTGGTCATCTGATAACAGTTACTGTACAGGACTTTCAAATGTGAAAATATCCTGATATTTAGTTCCATCATGAATTCTACCGGATAATTATCCTACTATAAATATGTAAGGAAATTCATATAATTATTGGTTGATATAGTTTCTAAGAGTGGAAGTCATTCAATTTGATCAATGAGTAAATATTTAAGAAGGTGAAGTACTCAAAACCTAGTCGATGAAACCGATTGTGATCAACCAACTCCCAGTAGCTGGTTATTTCGAAAGCCATCTGCAGTTCGAGATATTTTCATTCTGTGCTCCTATTAGTCTTTCAGACTGTGTATTCATTATCCACTTTCAGTCTATCTACGTGAGATACCATATTAGCGAATTGGAAATCGAGTCATAAGGTGCAAATTGGTTTGAATATAAAATGTGAATCCATTATTAATTTGACTTCTAATCAATTCTGTTATCATACTTATTGTAATAATTGCAGAATACTTATCGCTACAAGGGTTAAACATGAACACTATCAAATTCTAAATTTAATAACTTCAAAACAATTCGCGCATACTTACTTTTTAGTTAGAATTTCGTGATCCAGACATGAAGGAGCAAATACACCTCTGTAAGCAGAAAAAACACATTCAAATAGAATTGGAACATAGGAAATATATCACTGGATCAGAAGTACTTCTATACTAGTGAGAAAAAAGAATTTACATGTTAGAAAACATTGCAATTCAATTGCTACATCTACCACGTTGTCTTAGTTTACTACAGAATACATACGGATAATGCCATAGGTATTTTCAGGCTAAAGATTAAACATAGCGTCTTGTATAGCTGAATATTTTTAGAATGAGAGTGAATTTCTACTCTGCCTTTTAGCTTCCTCAGTTCGAAGACTCAAAAAAGTTTTTTTCCTAGAATTTTACTTCGTAAATGGCTTGCAACTGAAGTATTCATTTCATTTAAGAGACAGCAGTAACTATTCATTTTGTAGAATCATCATTTCTGAGGAATAAAGAGAGTAACTGTTCTCATTATAACAGTTTATACTTTTGCTGAAGAAATAATCTTTGTTTAATGCTTGTACGTGTAATAGACATGTTAACTGTATCTTTTAAACATCACTTCTGAGTCTGCGCAATCACTCCACTGATTCTGTCTGCTTTCCAGACTATTCCTAGACTTTTAGGACTCTGAACAGACGATAGAACATACATAGCTTATGCATGAAGTATGCTAAATATCGGAGTCCTGAAAGTTAACAAAATGACTAGGGTGTTTTATTTTCGAATAGATTATCACTGGATTCAAATGGTAGGTTAATTTTCAACTAGTTACAGTGGTGAAATAGTAGTTATTTCAACGTACACCTATTCTTATACAGTTAGACTGAACAGAATGATAAGATGCAGCTGGCTCCATTCAACTAGACTTCAAAACTGAAATCTCAATTGTAGAAAGGCAGACACTTCAAACGGCATAAGGTAGCAGTCAATATCCCTGTTACAAAACACTGTTCGATGTTAACATGAAGATCATTACCGTTCAAAATCCAGGCATAACTGTATGGTATCATGTAACCTCTGTTTGATATTTCAGACTAAATGTCTCATCTCAGATCTAGGTGCCTCCATCAAAACTTACTCCATATTCACTCACTTCATCTTTTAAACAGAAAATGATAGTAAATATATATATCGATTAATTAACGGATTTAACGAAAAAAATGTACACATATAAAATCAACTAACCCTGCTGACTGAAGACTGCGTGCTACCTCTTTGCCTAAATTTTGTATATACGCCCATTTTGAATAGGTTCCACCAGTGAGTAATGGGACTTTAGACATTTGCATTTGAGCTTCATCAAATAAACTTTGCACAATATACACTGGAGCTTAATAAAAAGGAACAATAGTACATGCTGGAACTTAAGGTATCTGAAAGAATGAATAAAATTTCAGGGAAAATATGCTCTGACTGTCTAATTATCTAATATTAATAATCCAAACTATTACGTAATCTACACATACAGCCTATAGTGTTGGAGAACAGTTATGTATTCGCTTATGCTTTTTTAATGAACAAATTCACACTTGAACAGTCTCTGTCTGTTTAAACAGGCGATTCTTTCTGAGACACAATAAAAAATTGTCTTTAAAAAAGTCATTAATTGAGATCTTAATACTTTTGAAAACGTTGGATATTGTATTACATTTGCATGAAAACTTAGGTTCCTTTGCATACAGTTCACTTATGCCAGAAATAACCGTGAAGGAAAGTGATTGGAAAGTTACAAAGCATTTTTCACTTTTCGGTGTTCGTCCAACAATAACTGTGTCACATCTGATAACCGTAGTAAAGTTTAGATGAACTGAAAACGTATAAATCAAATGTCATGCGTGTACTTTGCATACCCTTGAGCTGTTACTGCAGTGTACATCTATCATTACAATCTAAAATAATTAGTCATTTTAATAAACTGGCTAAGCATCATTAAAAGATGGAGTTTATTTAAAAAATGTGCTGCGTTAGTGCTACACACTTTGATCACAGATCCACTTATCAACAGACTTTATAAGAAAATTAAAAAGAAGAAAGACAAATACGATGGACTAAATGATATGAGATTTTAAGGTAAGGAGGGTAATAATAGATTATTCAGTTCCAAAACCTGGATAAGATTAAGTCTATAACCAAGCCTGTTATCAATGTAAATTGATTTCAAAATAAACTTCGAGATTCTATGTGAAAGCTTACAAGGGTGCTGAGGTGATAGTCATTTGTAAGGCTTATACCTACTCCTCCGCCATTTGCATCCAAGGGGAATTTATGGTTACACATAACCAAACTTCGTAATCCCTGTCTGACTATATTACCAAAGGCAGTGTCAGTTATAACCCTCCTTACTAATCTTAAAGATCTAATATTTTCTTTACCTTGGTTAGACTTACATCTTTTCAGTTTTATACAAACTGAACCGACAAGTAAATGCGTGATCACACTGGCCAAAATATGTTGTACAAATCTATCACTACTCAGTCTTTGAAAAGTGTGTTTATTCACACAATGGTTCATGTGTAATTGTGCAAATGTATTTCTTAATGAATATCACTAAACTCAGGTAATAGGATGTCTGCAAGAGTTGCTTAGATTTTAGTATTTGAGCATGTATCAGACTATTCCTTTTCATATAATTCAACTTACATATTTCCGGCATTGTTTGTAATGTCACCAAACGGCACCAAAAATATAAACTAAAGATGTACTAATATTGTAGAGATTCTCGTGACCAGACAGCGTAAACACTTTCGCTGACGAAATGATCATGATGATCATTAAATACCAACCAATCTATACATTCCCCTCAGTCCTATGAGTGAATTACATTTCTTAAAAGTATTAAGAATCAGTTTCCAAGAGATTCTAAAAGAGAATCAAAAAGTGTGGAATCCAGGACTAGTGTATCTTGATGACTAAATATATGCCTGATAGAGTATACGTAATTATTCAGTTATCAGTGACCTACGAGCCCTGTGAAAAAAACGAATTGATAGCATTGTATTCAAGGTTAATGACTTCTCATGTCTATCGGATTTACAGATTTTGTTGAGGTTCAGTTTCACCTAACTGTGAAATTCAAGTTAACAGAAGAAGTCTTTTCTTGTTCTACTAGCTTCTGACCAGTGATTTTCTATTGCTTTAGACTCTTAGTAGCTATCAGATAAGAACTTCGACGGGAAATAACGTATTAGCGATGACGACCACTTAATTACTGTTATGTGTTCTTAATTTTCGGCCTCAGAACATGTTCACTTCAACTGGTTTACTTATTCAAATAAGTTCAAGCTTTCAAACAACTTTGTTTTTAGACCTTTTTAAATAATTCAAAGAACCTTTCAATATAATTTAAAGGAATCTATTCACCGAATTGTTTTACATTTTACAGACAAAACATACAGCTTTTCACGTGTAATACTTGCTAGAGAATTGTTCCTTATGCATAACTGTGAGACATGTTCCTTGAACATTTTGAGAAGCTTCTAAGTAGTCTGGTATCATCTCCATTTGTCAGTTTCACCAGCTTAGCTTATGAGTGGCATAAATGTTTCGGTGAATCAGTATGTAAATGAGATATGAAGTAGCTGAAAATTGTTTTACGCACAGGAAACGAGCGCTTACCGTAAATTGCAGTCTTGGATTGATTTCCGTTAAGCTGGGTGAAAAGTAAACATTGAACAAAACAACACACGATTGGTATTGGTAACTGACTTGATGCATGTCGTATACTGTAGGCCAACACAATCAGGATTTATGCCACAATTGAAGGTTAGTATTTCTAACACAGATGGAGATATTATGGTTGGGAATTCACTGTAGTGGCATTCATGCATTCACATCATATCCTCTTCTAAATGGTGCGATCATATATCATTCGCCTTAATTTTCATTCTATTTATCTTACAGACCTCAAAGACTTGATCATATTATGAATGATTTCTTCCCTATTAGAATAATATGACGATTTGATATATAGCCAGTCTATCTGTCAAACAGCTGCGGTAATTATCATTCTGAAAATTTCTGCTTATCTGTGCTTATTAAGCACTAAGTTAATTCATTTATTATTTGTTTAACAAGCTTTTAAAAATTTATACAGTTAAGGGGAATTCAGTGGTTAAAGAGTAGATGAATTTCAACAGTTAATATACTTACTTCTCAAATGTGGATACATGAATGGAGCCAGGTAACATTTCCACTTTTGTCCTTTTGGATGTGCCTTACGACAAGGTTTTGGTATTCTGGCATTCCAGAATCTGTGATATAAACAAGCAGTTTTAAAGGAGTTAAGCCTTTGCAAAAAATGGTAATTTCTGATAGAAAGTAATTTTGTTATGGATAGGGTTTAATTAACTTAGGTGGAGTATTGGTGAAAATTAGTGAAGGTCCGGAACTAAAATAGTTGTCTAAAACAACTTACTTATTGTCAACGGTGGTAAAACCAGTTAAAAAATGATATTAAACAAGTGCATCAGTTCACACACGTTTCGGGTGAGGATATACACTATTGCGAATCAAACCTGCCGCGCTTTCGTTCCAGTAAAGGCAGTATGGAGGCGGTCAGTTGCGTGTTGAATTCCCACAGGTAGTTGACTTAGAGTTATGGGGCTAAAGGAATGCCGTAATCACATTAGATGTTATGTTTGGCTGTTTGAAAGACATTCTGTCAAATGTTTCACACAGCTAGAATATTCTTTGTGACGTTTGCTATACCACGCGCGAAAACACATCGCAATAGCCCTTACCCTCACTCACAGGTTTCATGGATGTTAGTCTAAATTTGTAAGGCTTATCTGAAACCTGAAATGAGCCAGTAATTTAGAAAAACAAGGACTTATTTCAATCACTGCTAAACTTACATACATTATTACTTAGACTTTCATTTTAGATCAGTAAGTTATATTCTGTTAAGGTAATGAGTGTAGGATTTATTCATTTCTAATTATCAATCATCAAACTCTGTACAGAATAATTTTTAATGACTGAGTACGTGATAAAAAATGTGTTATTTGAATATAAAAGTGAGATAAATTAGACTCACAGCAAAGGAATGCCGTTTCATAATCGTAGGACGGATGTCTTTGTAGGAGCACTTCATAAATTTCCCAATATGCTCCTCAATATCAACTTCTGTTATTAAATGTTAGGGTTGACTATGATCGACTAGTACATTTTGACTATGCTGTTTAATAATATGTTTTGGTATTTTTAAGATACGTGTTTCTGCTAAAGATGTCGTAACTCTCGTGGAAAAGCTTGCAGGAAGAGATTGTCTTGATTTTTTAAACTGTCTGGGATAATATTAAGTATCTTCAATGAAGAATGAAGTCCTTGTTTAAAATAATATGAATGGGACTGAGTGAGATACTCATAGAATATGTGATAAGCACGCCTGAACATGATTCCCTTTCAAGCTTATTGTTGCTTAGATTGCTCAAAAAGGTGTTGCGATTCTGGAGGTGATCAAGTTAAAACATAAAACTCATTTTTGAAAAAACCAACCACGTGAAAACTTCTACTCTCCTCCAGTTAAAGTTATTATGACAATAGAAATTAAAAGTGAAAGACTTAGATTAACGCCTTACAAGTTGAATACAACTAACACTGTCAAGATGCTGGGGAGTTATTGAAACAGAACTAGCAATAGTTACCCAAAATCAAACATTAAACGCTACAAATTTCGAAAATAGTTAAATACTAGAACATGTGACTATTACAGAAATTATAAATTGACTACACGGAAAATTTGGATTCACAGAAAAAAGCACTTACTTCATTCCTCGATTAATGCCTTCCTCAGGTGGACATTCAAATGCGTTTATACATTTACTTTCTTGATAGGCTGGTATGTGAATAAACCAAGAGGAATCTATTATTCCGCTTACTAGAACAGGGTGTCCAATACGAGTGAATAATTTTCGAGCTAGTCTATCCACATTCATTAGAACGCCTATCCCACCGGCACTGAAATAGCACGATGTAGAAAACAATATGAAAATTATCTAAAGACTAAAAGAAAAAAATAATTTTTTTTCAATATTAAACTGATTTGTGCAAAAAGTTGATTGGAATAAATTTACTGAATTATTATTTCACCAGAATAAAATTGTCGCTTAGTTCAATGTTTCACTGTAAGTGATAGTAGTGGTGCTAGTAGTTATTGTTGTGCTGACTGAATAAATTCTGTTAGTGATTCAAAAGATTAGTCATGATCTGAGTGGCTTATGTGTGGAGGCGATGACTTTAAAAACGTAATGTCGTTTTTAGAATTATTTTATTGATCATGGATTATTTCAAGGAGGTGAGTGTATTTTTCTGATGAGTTTCAGCAAGAAAGAACTCAATGTCATGTAAAATGTCATGACTGTTGACATCTAACAAATGTTATTTTACTGGCTTTTACAAGAGTCGTCATGTATAGTGAAATTAGGCAAAAAATTTTCAGAGGAAAGCATTTTAACATTTCTATCCACCCGAATATGAAATTAACACAGTAGGATCACGGTCTCCGAAATCATGTATATATATATATATATATATATATATATATAGGCATACACTGTTATCTATAACTCCATTCGTTGGTTTTGCACTATAGCAGCCTTACTTTGGTGAAAGTTCAGTTCCAGTGTATTATCTACAGCAAATATTGTAATTTTAAAAACTTTAACAAAAGATGTTGTGTTTTCGTTTGAAGTATCATTTGATATTATTATATTTATTACATACGAACTAACTGATTACTCACTGGGGTTGCTAACCATCATATAAGCTTATTTCATTACAATAATTCCATATCCTGAATAACTACAGAGGAAAAGTTATTGTGAGATTATAGATTCATTTGAGTCTTCATCACTTCCATGGATTACTGACAGATGAATCTCTGTATTCTTAAAAGCCAATATTGAATAACTACACACTTCTGTCTACTTAGTAGGAACTAATCATATCACTCAGTAGTATTTAACACAAAGCCTGTGCATTTTAGTAAGTGACTGTATAGGTATCTGCTGGCTGTTTTTGGAAGCATAAATGATGCTTAAAAGCAGTGTATTAGGTTGATAAGTCAAGTTCCACTATCTTTAAAGCAATGAATTTAGTTGTTTATCTTTTTACTTTTTCATCCCAAGTTTTAATTTTCTCTCAGAATTTAAATAGGTCCAGAATTGCATGTGTAACCATATAACTTTATGTGAAATAGTTTCACTTACAAAAATTGCTCCACAAATGGTAGGTCATGTTGTTATATAGTAATAAATTGCAGAAAATGATTGTCATGAAACTTAATGTGATATAGTTTTCTTGACTACTGGTATTTCTCATTTGCCAACTTTGGTAGGAGAGTAGGTAACGTAGATTCGAATTCCAAAAGGCATTTCATTATATAAAGGCAGTGTAATCAACTGTTAGTGTCAAGATTAAGTGTCTTTCAGTTATCTTTGCAATAAATAATGTAATTTAACAGCACGTTCCTTATGGGATAATGAAAATTTCCATGTCCAATAGAAATATTTGTTTGAGACAATTAAAGCACAAAATTCTTTTGAAAGTATAACACCACTATAAATCCGATGTACCATATCAACATAAATTAAGGTATAAACGTTATGTAACATCGTGATGCCTTTTGAATTGTCCTCTCCCATTAGGTTGATTGATATAGGTCAATCTGTTGTTTATATTATACTAAAATATTGTTGTTTACATTACACTGGCGTCGGTGGCACAGCCGTAGAATGCTCTCCAACCAAGCTTGTGGCTCCGGGTTCGATCCGCGGCCGACGCACACTTTTACCTTGCTAAGTCAGTAATAAGACCGGTAAAGAGGGGAGGTTAGGCATGAGGCTAGCAACTCCACCCCATATAAATAGAACATTGCTACCGAAAATTCAAATCTCTAGCTTGAAGCCCTATATTTCACTGGGAAAGTAAAGGAATTAAAATTAAAACAAACATTACTGATAATTGACAAATCAAACGTACATTAACAGTAACAGAGTACTTACTACATAACTCAGTAGCTGAATAACAAAAACATTGAAATAAAAGTTTAATTTCTTTTGTTACCTACCTGGAACCTGAAAATACAACCTTTTCTGTATATGCTGCATTATGCCAAGGTAGATCATCGATAACTGCTGCCAATATACGTGAACCATGAAAGTAAAAATCTATTTAAAATGTAGAAAATAAAAGACAACAGATGAAAATTGTTCTGGAAGCCATCTAAACTGTGTAAACTGAGTACACTAGGATTTTGTGGTAGTTTACAGTATTCAATTTGACTTTCACACCTTGGCTGTCACTTTTGATTTTTGAAAGTCAAACTAACCATAGTGATGATTTGATTAGTTGTCAAGTGCATAACAACAGTCCAGTCCCTAACGTTAAATCAGTTTACTCTAAAAAAGTCGTAACGTAAGTCATCAGTGTATGGTGCTAGATATTACGGCACATTGTTTTACCAGTTTGGATGTTTGGAGTTAGTATTTGGTAGCCGCATAAAACGTTTAGTAATCTATCTGCCGTTTATATAGTCCAAAAAGACAGAAAACCTATCAAAAGTATGTGTTTGTGGTACCCTCAAATCATGAACCATGATTCACTAAGGGAGCAGGATTTCCTTGTCACATAGCAGCCTCGTTTCTTATTCAATTGCTATCACATCAGCAATTAACCCATTCGTGCTGAATCCGGTACTGATAAACTTAAATGCTAAACAACTTCAGTAACTTTTATAAGTATATGCTACTCACAGTCTTTCCATGCAAAGTTCAAAATTCTACAGAACGTAAGGATAACTCATTTAATTCTGAGTGATCATTCCCTATTCTGAATGACATAAGTCATTTCAACTTAATCCTTTCTATGATATCATGCAACTGATAGTTCCTTCAACCTGACTGATTTTTGTTTTTATAAAATATTTTTACACATTTAATGAATAACTTCATCTCTGGACATACCTCCACTCTGATTTGCCATTTTACCAGTCCATAAATCACTTGAACAGTATGGAATAAAACTGGAAAAGGAAAAATAAAGATTTTTGACGTTAGCGTTTGCTTAAATAATAAATTTTTTTAAATGACTACAATAGGAATCAACTTCAACTTACACACTGTGGTACTCATGATAATACGGATTTGCATTTGAATCAGATGAGAGAATTCCACCAACTGAAAAGAAAACACATAATGAGAGAAAGAATGACAATCTAAAAACTAAACCAATAAAATGTTTGAAGGTCACATAGGATCAACCCATCACATAGTTAGTTTACATGGTTTTTATGCCATTTAGTAACAGATTTGAAATCTAGGCTCTATTTGACTCGAGTTCGTTTACAATTCGGAGCAAGCATATTTGAATATCATGTATTCGTAAAAGAAAAAAGAATTTTACTTTGTTTAGTTATTACCACCTATTTTTGTCCTACGTGCAGAAAATTCACCAAAGATTTGAACTGGAAATAAATGATTTCATCAGTTGGTGAAAGTCCTTAATAATTGGCCACTGGAGTTTTACTTTTTATATTATGCACCAACCAAGCTTTGTCTGCATCTATTAAGAAGATTCATCACGTTAAACTTTATTTAGTGATACTTTTCTTAAAACAGCTAGAAACAAATCATTCCTTATTTAAGCTTTTCAGTTACCCAGGCACATAGCCTAAGCAAATCTGCTGAGTAGATCGAACTGTGCCACTTTAGTTTTTCATCTAGTTCTATGAGTTATGGGTAGCAATGTGGATAGCTCAAGGGTGACTCTAATGTCTGTAGTAACTGATAATTATGAATAAATGTCTGACAATGACACACTTTTCTTTGTTTTACAAGTTCAACTTACTAACAAGTGTTAAAAGCATGAAAATTCGGTCACACAGACAGCCCTGTTGACTGTTTCCTGTCAAATAATATTAGATTACCTCTGAATAAGTATAAATGTGATGCTGAAGGAAGTACAAGTTTACAAGGCAGACTAAAACTTTAAATCTATCTATATTATTTGGCTAGTTGCTCAGTATTTCAAAACATTCCCTGATTTGGACTATTTTCGAAAGTAAAATACTGCAACAGCTGTTCTCGAAGGTTGTAGTAGTAAAAAGGTACTCATCACTCTTCTCAAAACACCTCTGTAATATTTCACTGTATTTCAGTCACAAATTATTAACTCTCTAAGACTATGGAGATAACTGTAGTCCTTTATGTATGTCGTCTATCCACCCTCTGGATAGTGTTATGTTTATCTGTTGCAGGTAACCTACAAGGACTTCCTTTCTTTCGGTTTACCTGCTTATTAGTACCAATCACTAAGTAATATATATATATATATGTAATAACAGCTGAAGTGGTCGCTAATGGAGAATTTACTATGTCTATCACAAATATACCTATAATTATTTGATAATCACAAAACTCAACCACTAATTAGTTGTCTGTTTTATGAAATTTTTATCATGGATTGAGTCAATAACCGTGAAATTGAACTGGCATTACTATTCATCGCTCTAAATGATGGAACTATCTTTGGCTGGCATAACTTCAGGTTTGAATGTTTTTGCGAATTATGGTTTATTTGTTTTAATAAAATATCTCCACACAATTAAATCAAATTTATTTCTAAAATAATTATAACTTCTTTGTCTTACGTGATCGTGTTTTAGGCCAAAATTTTGAAGAGAACAATGAAAAGGCATTGGATTCTCTTAGAAAACAGGTTTCTGCATCAAAACAATACCAGCCACCTAAAAATAGAACAACACGATTTAGATAAACACTCATTGAAAAAATCTCAATTTACCTTCAAGAAATACAATCCAGTTTTTCACTGTGGTATGTTTCGCCGGACGATAATAATAACTAAAATTAAAGAAGATGAAGAAGGAAAATGTTGAATCTGGGATCAAATAAACTACAAATATGAATAACCTTACTTTTGTTTAACAAAAAACGTTTATGCATTTAGTTCTTGTCTTTCAGTTTATCACTATACATGAATTATCCAACCAATTCTTCAGTAGTATATCATGTGAAGCATATGCACATTGAACTCAAAACAAATAGAGAATCAGGAGATAAATTACAGTCTTTGTAGCACTGAATATGATATTTATAGTCTACATCGTATGCACTCAGTCAACAGAAGATTCGAATGTCAATTTGAAGTGCTTTGTAGAGAACAGAAGTGTTATATCGGTCAAGTTAGTTATCGCCATATACATCTAATCAATACACCTCTTTAAATGCAATTAGGACAAACAGATTCATCAGTGTACACAGTTGCTCGTATACTAAGTTTTAAATCTTTTAAATAGCATTTGGTCAATATCAGTAAAAAGTTTGAGCATTGTGGATTAGATCAAATAAAGTATAATTATATTTCAATAGTTTACACACAATGATAGGTTTTGTTATTGGTAATATTTCGAGCAAAATTACTGCCCGTGTTCACACCACTGTTGGAATTGTTTTATTCACACATTTATGATTTATACTCATATATATAGTTCATTATTTTTGCTCATTCATGTTTTTGTATTCAGAATTATATTCCAAGTTGTTGATAGTTGTACTGAGTCACCCTCGTTACATGTATCCGGTGTGACTTTAATGAATATCGATTCTATTATAAGTCTTTCTTTCCATTTGTTCATGTTAGTTTTTAGAATACACACATTGTTCCAATCGATATTGTGGTTTTTGTCCCATGCATGTGCAGCTATCGATGAATTTTTCTCAAGATTCTTGTAGGCTTGTGTTACTGTTGGTTGACCTTTGGTTAGGCGTTTATGTTCATTCACTCTTATTTTGAGTGATCTGGACGTTTGCCCCACATATTTAGTCGGACAGTCAGCACAAGATATTTTGTAAATCAAGTTGTTTTTATCCATCATTTTTATGGGATCTTTCAGTTGATTTATTTCATTTTTGATTAGATTTGTCGGTTTAAAAGTTGTGTGAATGCCGATATTTTTGAGGTTTCTTTAAATTGCCTCTGATGTACCATTTTTATATGGTATTGTGACTATATATATGAGTACAAATCATAAATGTGTGAATAAAACAATTCCAACAGTGGTGTGAACACGGGCAGTAATTTTGCTCGAAATATTACCAATAACAAAACCTATCATTGTGTGTAAACTATTGAAATATAATTATACTTTATTTGAGCATTTGGTCAGTTTGGTTAGTTTGAGTGAATGAATAGGCTCATTATCAGGAATTTGCTTGGTCTTACTTGACCCAGCTTTCATCAAACTGCAGTTGACTTCATGTTAAACAAATAGCACTTCAAGTTGATGAGAGAGAAATGAAAATAAGACATTTGTCAATACAATCAAGAGACAGTAAAAATCTAGTAGCACTGAGCAGTTTTTTAGTTCTAGTAAGTAAGCGGTTAGCAGGTCTTATCCATGATACCATATGATGAAGAGGTTGGCAAAAGTCAAAATTTATTAAGGAAATATAATCCTTCATCAACTGGGTAGGAATCCAATAACCTCACGAATTCCAATGCCTGTCGATTTGAAGTTGACTTATTGGGGATAAAGATTGCTAAAAGTCGATTGGTTATACATACACTTACCAGTTTTATGTGATTAAAATACTACTTAGCTTTACGATAATAAAATCGGCATTGTTATTATTGATAATAATCTTCTTAAAGAGCTGAAGATATGGAATGTTCAAAAATCACAAGGTAATCTTTCATATGATTTTTATTCATGAACTTTTTGTTTTGTCTGCTTTCATACACCTAAAGACAAGTATTTTTAAGTGGGGAATGTAAATTTCATTCCATGTGCAGCCATCACCCAATACCGATTACATAATTGTTAAAATTAGTAGGTGGGAAATATTTACAATTACCAAGAAAATTATAGTGTGCTTATTTTGCTATTTGGGTAATAGTTAGCCAAATGCATGATAAAAAAACTATTCGAATCTCAAATTATCCCTTCAAGTTTCAACTTTAGGACATAGTTAGTAAGCTAGATAGTAAATTTTGACTTACTGCACATCATGGTAAGGTTAGCTTCTATCTGTTTGATCACTAATATAAATGGCCTAGGATCATGATAAACTTCACTCTTTGTTTAATAGACAATCATAATGCGCAGCAAGATGTGTACCTTAACGGGACATATCAATAGTCGTTAAGTGGTTAATATAGTGTGTTACAAAGTAGTCAAAGTCTTGGAATATGAAATTGCCTCATCACTTTATGAAGGTGAATACAAACGATAGTACTGTCAAACTGCTGTTAAAGTTAATTAGGAATACAGTTTCCTGTGCATTTGCTGTAGCCACACAACACTTCTTCTTATAATCCCACTTGTTGATATTCAAGCCAAAAAAAAGCTCTTTATTATGTACGACAGAAACTAGGCCACTGGTGAAAATGCAGAATGAAATGAGTAGCCAACTATCCTTAATAGTTTATATAGTAAAAGTTGATATTTTGTTGAAATACTCTAGAATGAAGCATGAAATGCTTTTTTTTGGCTTCGATTCCACAAGCATCCTTAAAAATGCTTTTCAAAGAATTACCTGAATTTCATGTGCTAATACTTGAGTTTAAATTGAAAGTAAAATATGATACTTTATGTCAAAATTTACGAAACAGACAGAAAGTGGTGTACCATTAGCCACTCAGAAGAAACAGTTCACCCCATGTCATATTCTTGCCCAGTCAATAAGGTAACTCAACTCTTAAAGGTCTTTAAGGGAAAGCAACTGGAGCTAACCAGTTTTAACGTTCTACTGTATTATCACTTCGGTTCACATATTAATAAATTCAACCATTCATCTGTTAACACGTATATACTTTTGAATTATGTTTTTATAAATGGAAACTCCAATTCGAGACAACAGTAAAACTCAGTTCACTTCGGGAATTGTTGAATCTCCTTGGAAATAGACTTCTGTTTGCTTTTTCAAATACAAACTGACTTTATAAAGAACAAAAACAGAAGAATTTTACTAAGTTTATATGATATAGATGATTTCACTTTTTCATTCAAAACATTTATTATCTAAATTTGCAAATTTTCATTAAGAAAAATGTGGCAACATACCCAGCTGGTGAACCGTCATTGCATCGTGCACCAGCACTATTCAAGAAATATAATTTGTGTGACTGATGCTGTAGTCTCAAGTCGTTCAGCATCATCTTCTCTTGACTCCATTCGTCTCTTCCCATGGCCATTTTATCCCGTTCATTTTCCATTGGTTTTGTAAGGGGTTCCCAGGGTTCTACAATAAGATTTTTCGACTGCCAGTCATTTTGACTAGTGTCAATACTGTCTGTGTGAATATTTAAATCTTTGGTATGTAAAAAGGATTTATAATTCGGTTTGGCTTTAACACTACCCATCCATGTTATGATGATTAGACTTATAGTTGTGAAATAGTGCCATGAAAGTAAACGTCCGCCAGCAGACTCACAATCCTTTAACACAGAATTCTGAGTACGGCATACTCGTTTGCTTGGAAGGACGACTGGATTTGTGAAGAGGCAGTTGCCACTTGACACGAATGTATAATCTGTAGGATAAGAAGAAATACACATTTCGCTAGGGATCACTAATAAATCAGTTATATGAAGAACATGATAACATTTAAATATCAAACTGTGGTATGTCATGCATACAAATTGGTTATGTACTCAAATACGGTATCATTTGTTCTCACTTTATCGTGTTAATTCTTAATCACGGAGTAAACACGAACTGATTGTTCACCTAAATAATATATGTGGCTTTTCACGAGAAGGGTGAATAATACTAATGATTAAAATCAGAATCCATTCAACAGTTCCCCTTTTTCTTTTATAAATTGATTTAAGAGTATTTTGACAGTGAGAAATTCGGAAAAATCCAAATTTACGATTTGCATTGAACTGAATAGTTGATAAAGTTACCCATACAAGTACATACTTATAATAGCTAAATGTTGGCTGCTCATTTTAAGATGATACACATTCAGACTTCTAAAACTGAGTGATTCATATAGATGTATGCGGGACTATTTCATCCTTTTATTAGTTTTCTAATATACCACTAATCTAAGTTATGCTTCATGACTGTCAATATAACCTCTTAACCCTGTCGTAAACTTCATCAGTAAAAACCTCCCAAAACCCGACCACTGCACAGAAAAGCTTTAATTTTCATTTGAAAATTGACTGTTAATAGGCAAATTTACAGTGAGTGTTACATCTCATTCGAAATTCAGTGGTTTGGGGTTCCTGATGCAATATAAGTTTCCCCCGTTTTCTGACTTGCCGAAGTAATGGTTTTCAAGATGGATAAATCTAGGTGTGAGACATAATGATGAATTTTTTCAAGTTGCTAACAATATCCGAAGTGCTTCAGATCCAACCAAAGTCAGAATATACATAACTAACTGATGGAGTTTATTTCTCCGTGTAGATTTTACAACACATCACTAGCTGCTGTCCACAAACGAAATTATTAGGTTTTTGTGGTCTCGTTTCATTTTAGCAGTGTTATCTAGGTAAATTTGAAACTATTAAAAAACATTTCAGTCATTCAGAGCCTGACTTTAACAGATCCATTTAGGTTTTAGAAATAATTCAAAAAGGCTCTTTGAATTTAATTGGGTTTATACGTTAAACAAATGATACATAAAGAGTCGTTTGTTTGACGTATTTAGATGTTGGGCTTGTTAGGTAAGTTAGTAATCTCAATGGATACTCATGTTCTTCATGATACGGAGTCGTTGTTTATCGAAGTAAGAAATCCTATCACTAAGTTATCCAGTTATATACAAGACTTTGTTGTGCCTTCAGTTGACTTATGATATCATATTCATCAAAGTGACACCTGAACAACTGAAACTGACAAGCGACGGGTAAGATTCCATATTCTTTAGTGCATTTATACCACTCTATCACAACAGTTTAAACTGAGTTATCTACTGTTTGCCAAAAGTCACAGAAAACTATTGATTTGATTTGGTTAGTTATTTAGCACAAGAAAAAGCCATAAGATATCAACGTAGTGTTTCTCAAACGCAGCACGCAAACTATGCAAAACTGTAGACGTAACTAGCTCATAAATGTGAAGCATCACTAATACAGTTCCTTCTCTTGAATGTTATTTGCTGTCATAGGACTTTTAAACGGAGAAAATGTAGCAAATCAATCTCTTCGGAATGACATTAAACATGCATCAAACGAAATCACTGCATGCAACTAACTCATCATCAAATATTCCAAAATGTATAAATTCTTCAAGTGTTAAGTTCGTAAAAACTTAATCGATTGTAACCCTTTCTTTACATGCTGACATCAGTTAGATAAACACAAAAACGAAAGAGGATCAGAGAGTCTTTTTGTTTGCTAAGTGGTAAGTGAGAATATTTACACACCTGCAACACGAAGAAGCAGAATTTAGCAACATCATAGGCTATTTTGTTTTAGTCAGAGGCCTAGGAATCTGATAGTCTTTAAATTAATGGACACCATCTGAGTAGCGTCTAAGAGAAAAAGAAACAACTATCTAATCAATAACAGGTTTTCACTGGTCCACTTTAAGATTTTTGTTTGTGATGAGGCCTACCTTGAAGTGTACAAACTAGTTCGTACTCTACTGTCTTTCAGTTTTTATTTAGAAAACCAATGCACATTGTTCAGTACTTAGCTGACATAGTGGTTACGAAAGGAGCTACAAAAGTATTAGTGATAGCTATAATAATAATAATAATAATAATAGTAATCATAAACCAGATGTTTGGTCGGCTTTTACTACATTCGAACATCAAAAGAAGGTCAAATATTATTCTTTCTTTATCGCATCCTTCAAATGAACAAAATTCATTCGGTTATAAATAGTATTGAAAAAGTCTACAAAAACGAAGTGAACTATTTTCAAATAAATATCGTAATTATAACAACTATTATTACTATTATTCTCATTATAAGTTTCACTTAATTATTCAATTAATCCAGTGTTTATATTTTACAAGAAATACACAACGTTTATACAGGTGTGCAAACATACACAAACGGAGAAAAATTTGTTCCAAAGGTCAAGTTCAACGATTCATTGACTTTCTCTCTCGTATTCATTCACTTCAACTGAATTCAGTTTGTGAACAAACACTTCGCTGACTTAAGATCAAAGTGAAGGATATTTTGGATGCATTCTAGTTCACGAATCATTGAAAAGTGGTTTATACACATATGTAGACAAGGCGAGTACAAAGGAAATAGTGTTAAAAAACACCGAAAATGTATAGATCACATAATTTATTGAGGATCACAATAAACTTTTACTATGAAAAAACGCTGAAAATATTTAATTTTTTTATGCTGCTATAGTATTTTTCAATTGCTTGAGTTAATTGTAAACAAGCAGTCTTAATAATCCAATGTTTTGTAATGAACTAAATCGTCTAGGCAGTACGTCAGATTGAATGACAGTAGTGGAATTTTCTTTCACTTACATGAAGGGTTAGCGACTTAAGGCTAGAGGATTTATTTACTTTTGTTATATCAGGTACTATCCGTGAATATGATCTTTTATAACCAGCAATGTTCAAATAGCAGTTAGTTACATGAACGTGAAGACCGGAATTTGCATGTGCATCTTTATATATATATATATATATATATATATATATATATATATAAAGTACTGTTCTATCTGTAATTCCTTGCCGTTTATTAATATAATAATCTCCATCTGCTTTACTGAGGTATACAGACGTGAGTCGTACACAATTACACGTAAAAAACGAAAATGACATACATCAACATAAATTAGTGATTTCATTATTCATTTTTTCAATACATCCTTCAAATTGTCAGTGTTGATTGATTGACTGCTGTTTACTATAACGTTCGATTTATACTAACTAGTCCTAATTCATTCAGAATCAACGGGGTTTCTAAGACTAAAAGGGGATAATCATCAAAGAGAAAGTGAAAGAGATAGAAAGAGTAGAAGAAGAAGAAGAAATGCCGACCGCATGTATGCCGCTTTTTGCCTTTTATCTCCTGTAGGAAATTGCATATATATACATATCTTTTCTTGTATAAATTGTTGTAAAGTATATAGGTCATACAGACATGTGTGCAAATAGCGTTCTTTTTATGTACAGTTAACCAAGTAAGTAAGTGCATTTTGAAAGCATCTTTTCCTTTATATTTTTTCAAATTTTTTCAACTATTTAAATGATTCCATTGCGTCTCAATGTCTTAGTGTTGTTTGTCTATACATACAGTGTAAACATGTGTTTGTTCAAGTAGGAAAACATGAAGGGGAAAGCCAACCCCACATGCAAATATGTATGTAGAGGCAAATACAATGAAACACACGATTATAAACACTGATTCTTAATTAAAGTCGGGACAAAATGGAAGATGAAAAAGGTGGAAAACAAATAAACTGTACGCTCATACACAAAAACAAAGCAAAATTTTTTAAATTCACCTAATGCCTAACCTTTGTTACTTCATTTCCACTACACACCATTTCATCACTACACATATTTTCCGCCATTTATTTCGGTCAATTTTATGCATTTCTATTTATATAACTACACATCACATTGGAACTATTTAGTGGTTCGGCAATAATTAGTGTAAGAGAGATTGTTTATTTAACTTCAGTATCGAGTATCTTGATAGGTTGTAACGGAGTAAAAAAAAGAGGAAAAAACGGCATAAAATTGTTTGTATATATTTTTATAGCTGAAATTTGTAACCTTTTAGGGAATGGAAATAATTAAATTTTTTCCCTTTTTGTTTATATCTTAATAAATACACCACATGTTTTTTTTATAATGAAAGTGAGTGAGGGCATTTAAAACAAATAAAATTGTGCTTTCGTATACATTTTTATGCCTTGGCATATGTTCCACCTTATTTTCAGTTGCTCACTGCATCTCTCGGTGATATAAATTAGTAAATTTATGAAACAGTTTGATGAAAGAAGACCATTTCTATTATTTATGCGGAATATCAAAATATTTTAAACTACAGGTTACTCAGAAGTCTGTCGCTTAATGAAACAAAGCTGAACTTATAAATTGTTGGAGTTAGAGGAAAATAAAATCAGAAAGTGAGCCAGCTGAGTGCGAAACTGCGAAATTAGCAGTGGAATTAAATTCTTATTAGAGAATTCATTAGCAATACTTCCTGTCTATGTGAAAACTATGATCGATTTGTTCTGGAACTTCAGTGCAACAAAGAAAACTCAATGTCTTAACAAAATTTAAAACAAATTCACTGACCAAATCATATGTCTGATAGTAAATATTTGTTTAACACTTGTATCACACCTAAAAATCAAATAAACGAGCACATTAATTTGATAAGATATTGCAGTAGAAGCTGCGAAGTAGATCTTCATTCAAAAAAATTTCAATTTATCATGAAACATATTTAAAAGGTCCCATCACTTACATTATCATGATACATAATCAAGTCTGTTGTTTACTAATAAACCGTATCAAGTGACTGAAAATTTTCGTTGATGAATATGTGAGATATTTACAGGATTGAGGAAAAGATGTGC